GGTAGGCATTTATAGCTATTCCGGTTTATAAGAATGCTTACCTAGGGTTAAATGAGTTGTCATTTTGTGGATTTGTTGGTGTAATCTTTTATTTACAGAAAGTTACACAAATTACATAAATGTAATCCGTTATGTTTCGAAGCAGGAAACCTTTCTGAAATCAATTTGAACTAGATTTAATTTGGTGATGACTCCACAGGCACTTGGGGGCTGGACCCCTCCCCCTTTCCATTTTTTTTTTAAATCTGGGTTCGACAAACCTTTTTTCTATTCTTGTACTCTAATATGCACTACCTGATATAGATAATATAACACTCTTGTCTCAATAAGCTTGTTTTAAATATATCGTTTTCGACTGATCTCTTTATATGTATCAGTTCCAGTCCCCAAGTGCCTGTGGAGGACTCGATTCAATTCAATTCAATTTATTCACTCAAAAACCATGTAAATGGTGCATGAGGTACATAAACATATAAAACATATATACATATAATACAGTGGGTCAAGCAAAAGGTGAGATAAATTCAGTTAGCTTGGGAGAACAGACCATATTATTAATCTTAGTGATAAATGTACATAATTTTTTCAAAGAATCAACATCATTTTGGCACATAGCTTCATAAAACTTCATAGTGTTCGGCTTAGAACAAGTATTACAGTATCGTCGGAATAAAATAAAATAAACAATTTCATAAACAAAAACAGCTCATCCTCTATACCTTTGCTAATGCTAGACAAACCGACAATATTCTTTTCTATCAAAAATCTTCCAAGTCATTGATATACAATGAGAATAAGAAGGGCAATAAGTTTTCACCTTGTCATACACCAACATTACAGTTAAAAAATTCTGATGATACATCATTCATCTGTATTCTAGATTTGATACCATTATGCATATTTCTAATAAAAGTAAAACATTTACCGTTAACCCCACTTCTGAAAAGTTTACACCAAAGACCATCTCGCCACACTGTATCGAATGCTTGTTTGAAACTCGAGACTTTACATCAGGAGGTCATTATTCAGGAATCCTGATCATTGTGGCTTTGGACCCATCATGTTTCACGATATAAATGAAAAATGGTAAAGATAACGAGTAATGATAAAGCTTCTTAATCCCGTAAACAATACATATCGTAAACAGGGCAATAAAAGATCCCTTGAAACATCAGAGGTGAGAAAGTGCGTTGGAGGAGTGAGCATCCCCTGTAAATCGGCCAAACCATGAACCTTCTGTATTGATCAGGTAGACGTACGCAGCTCTGTTAAGGCTGCATAAAGGGGGCGGGGCCTAATTTATACGGGAAAAGTTTACTGTGACATCACACAAATATAGCAATTCCTCACAATAATTGAAAATGAAATATTTTGCTAATCTAAACTGCATAAGAGTAATGAACTACATCAAAACTTACCACTGCATTCATTTTTGTCGCTATTTAAATCCTACGCAGCAAGATATAAACAAGTCACTGATCGCAATGCACTTGTCGACATGACGTCATCATGGTAAAGTTTGACGCATTTTATGTGCAGTGAGAGGCGGATCAAGTAATTTTTTCACAGTGAAAAATGCATTTTATTATTAAACAGAATATTATTTGAAAATCTTAGGTAGATCATTAATACAAATCTGAAACATTTGTTTAGTGTCATTATTTAAAAACTATCGAGAGAATGTATTGAATTAATTCTACCGTGTTTTTGTCTACAGGGTGTGCATGTTTCACGCCGAGGTGCCTCATTAAATCGCCTTTTCGCAAGGGCATACACTTAATAGATCTTGAAAAGTGCTGCTGCTTTCCTGAAATCGATAGCATAACTTAATAAATACATAAAATACTTGGTAAAGGTCACACATATTTCGACATTAGCAAGATAACATGAAATTTAAACTAATAAAATGCGAATTCTATTTAAAGCAGCAGCACTTTCCATAAACTACAAGTTATGTAGAAACAATCTATTACTTTGATTTTTAATTTTAACTAGGGTATGCCCTTGCGATATTGAAATTTGTTTGTGACCTACATACAGTACACATTACATGCATTTATCACGTGACTATCAAATAATGTGACCAAACCAAATTTAGTACAGAGAGAGGTATACAATGTTATTTCAAAGAATGTTAAAGTCATAAGATAATATAGTACCTTTACAAAATTAAATTCATTTTAAAAAGGTATGTATTTATACACGTTTATATTCTGTTGATTTTTTCGAAGTATGCCTTAACAGTGCTGCGTAGTAATCCATGTTCAAACAGAATAGAATTTGCAAAATATTAACTTCAAACGAGGTTGTTGAAAACCTTTTGACATCAATTTATTTGTCAGTAGCCTGTCTCCTTTAATAATTGGTCGTATATATCCTAGACACATTCAGGAATGACTTCATAAAATCATTAGAAGGAAAGATACATTACAGGTTCCAATAAATGGTCCTACAAGATCCTATCTCTACTCCTAAAAAATACGAACTCTTTTGGAGAAACTTCAGTTTTAATCACTACTGTACTACAACATTTTCATTCAAGAAGTGGTGGTAATAAATGTGGATTCTAAAACCTTCTCCCCCTCCAAAATAACCTTCTAATGAATTTGAAATCGCAACCCCCCCCCCCCCCAAAGAAAAATCAAACGTATAAATTTAAGCAATAAATCTTCTGACAACCACTCCTAATGATTAATTAAAGACCAGGCTTCTTAACATCATAACCAGCAACCTCTTTGAAAGTGTAACTCGAAAATTTTTATATTTTGTGAGTGGTCACCTACAAAATTACTCTGTTAAAAAGCATTCTTAGTCTGATATCAAAAAGATGCTGTTTTTATTGAAAGACAACAGTTATGTAGTCTTTGGATACCAGGTCTTCAAAAATCATGTTTAATGTCGATGGACACTAATTGTGCTCCTTGCGACCAGTTTTATACTTTTGTGAAGCAAAAATTATTTTAAAAGACACTTTACATGAGAAGAAGATTGCTGTGGTATTACATTCAACAGTTAGATATATCACTAAGTTAATTCAATTAATAATAGTTACTACTGTGGAATCATCATTGTTCGTGGGGGATCAATGTTCGTGGATTTCGTGGGTCACCCTTACCCACGAATTTACATCCCCACGAACAATTTTTTTGTCAATGTACTGATTAATTAAATCTACCAAATAAACGAGCTGCCCACGAAATTAAATCCCCACGAACCAATAAAATTTTGCTTGCCCACGAACATTGACCCCCACGAATTTAAATGATTCCACAGTATCTAGTTACGTGGACAAGATATATTCCAGTGAACTCGAAAAAAAAGACACCATGGAATCTTCTTCATCTGATTCATATGTGGATGTTTTACTGATTATAAACGTTAATGTCAAACTGACAACTAAACAATATGACAAAAGGGATGACTTCAGCTTTTCCGTCGTTAAATTCCACTTAACATGCATTGATATTTCACTATTATACTATTACTTCATATGGTGTTTTAGTCCCACGACTAATTTGGTGTGCAAGAGCATGTTCTGAGTATGATCGATTGTTAAACCTAGACAGGCTACTGGTAAATGAGTTGATGTTATAGAGATTTCAACAATTTCATTTAAGTCAGCATTTCATGATTCTGTGGTCGTTTTGAGGATACTGGTCGTATACTGACCTGTTTTCCACCTTTTGTTAGGCTATTATTTTTAAACCATTTTGATAACAGATTATTTCGTATACCTCATCAATAAAGAGAGCTGACGGCGGTATTTATCAGTCGACAAGGGATGCCTATTCCTCCTTGGCACATTATCCCACGTCTAGTGTTTCCAGGAGTTAGTTATTGCCCAGTTAACAATTCGTAGTTTTTACTGGATTTTTGAGGTAAATCAGAGTTCGTTAAATTCAAATGTTTGTTGTTACTTCACACAAAAGTTGTCGTTGCTTAAATTACGTGTTTACAATGGTTATATATAAAAATTTTAGAAAATTCAGGAATTAAAAGTTCTTATATTCTTATATTTGTGAGGCTACATGTTAAAATGTAAATTTTTCAAACGATGTTTTGTTGTTGAAATGGTATTATGTCATAAACTTTGATTAATGGGTATATTCAAAGGGACAGGGTCATTCTAATAGTTGGACAGTTGAGTTGAAAACTTGATTCTTCAATACCGAAATTTTGCATTCTTTTCAAAGGGAAGCAAAACATTTCGCATTCTATAAAATACACATTAATGTTAACATCTTTCCTGATATTTGAATAATCTAACTTGAGTGGTATTGCACTAGGTAACTCCTTCGAGCATCTGGGTTTTTACCACTGTAAGTGACGTTAATGCTTATATACACTGATTTAAATTTGACTGATTTTTGGTCATTCACATAGTGATGACAGGTGACCAATTAATTTGTAAGTGAATAGAAATGCCCATTTTTGAACGTAATGATAAGTACGCAAAACATCTTAATCTTTATTAAAATGGTTTTGTAGCAGATGCTAGATCGGTGTAATAAAGGGTTTCCCGATGACGTAATTTTACCTAAAAATGCCACACATACAGACACTCACACTCAGGAAGAAAGATTCATTAAGTTATTGTGTTTACCAATAACTGGAAAATTTTATATAGAAATAACAACTACATAGAAACAGTATTTCAAACATTTAATGACTGAAATTTAAAAGATATCCCTTGTGGTAATTATTCGTTTTTATTTAAATAGTCACACAACATTTTTCACAAAAGTTTAATGGCTTTTAATTACGTAAACAATTTATCAAATTACGTAATTTTGAAAATGTTAAAATATAGAGCTATATATGGAAGCTATTATGATTGTCACATGTCAGAAACGCATCTGAAAATATTCTCGGTTTCTTTCCATTAATCTGCAATATCGTGATTGCATGCCAAACATTTTGTCATTTCAAGATATCTGTTTAAGTGAACATATCCTCTGAAAAGGAGTGAAACTTAAGGCATGAAAAATAAGGAGCAAAAATGGTAAAACATATAACTTTATTAAAAACTCAATATATTGCGCATGATACATGCGTAACACTATAATGGATTTCTCCCATTGGAATAAACCAATTTATTATGCACCATTAACTAATATTTTCCTTTGGGTTTTGACTTTCACTGTGTATTACATGTGTAAAAAGAAGACAAGGAACATTTCTTTACAAAAGTATATACTGAACTGCATTGCGTCCACCCTATTTGGACATTTTCACAACTCTGTTTAAATCACATCTGCACACTTACATTTAACGACAATGACTGAATGCAGATATTCGAAATGTACAAAAAAGAATTTAAGAATCATTGCACTATGTCCGCAAACAAGAGAAGCCGAATTGTTTATCAATCAACATTTACTGTAGTTTTCACCGAAATCGAATTTACACTCCAATAAGCACATTTTTCTGTCCCAATCGTTAAAATACGGGTAATTCTGACAACTGTACCTACACCCTTCTCTTTCTCTGTTGTTTAGGGCTTTACATTCACATTTGTTACTACACTCAGCAAACATATTTTCACATTTCTTAGAGCATCTGTTGAACTTCTTCCTGAAAGAGTTGGACATGTAATCGAACCTGCAGTCCTTGTGACATTTTATTCTATAGGGGTAACATTCGTGCTGACACGGAGTCCTGTCCCCTAGAACACAGAGGATGTAGACAGCTAGGGAAACAGCAAACAGGAGACGCATCTGAAAAAAGAAGTCCGTATCGCAATCATGTTTTTCAAAATGAAATAACAGGTTCAATTTGAAATGGACGTCAGTCTTAAGTGTGACACAGAAAACAGTCCGATCCAGATACATGTTCATAAAACACATTACCACCTGATCATAACCATTCTGAAAACGTGGATATGATATGAGGCTTATGGTCTTTTAAAGTATTTTCTTTGAGTTAAAAACAGCTTTTGAAAAGAAAACATTCAACATATTTTATAATTTAAGAAACATTTTCCAGAGGGATAAAAGTATGAATTCCTATATATACTTAAAAAAAATGAGAATTTTTCCACAGAGAGAAATAAAATGATTGAATTTAGTTTTATAATTGAATGTACAAATCTAAGTTACTATCATTTGCAAAAATTTTATTCCTTCTGAAATTCTAGGAAAAGCAGACCCCGTCCCCACAATTTAAGGACCCCCTTTGCTCTTACAAAAAAAAAATTAAACCAATCTTCAACAATAAGAATACAACTATAGACAGTATCACAACCCTCTAATTCTGACACACTAGTATTTTTGTAATTTGATCTGTTTTTTTATGAATTAACGAAATATATAATACTACCTTTGCAATTAAATATTTAAATGCCCAAATTTTTTTTATAAGTATGTACAGTCCAGCTTTGAGATGTGTCTTACCTCTGTCAAGTTGTCAGCTACTTTGAAACGTGGTGAGTAAAGAAACAAGATAAATATGTATTACATAAAAAACACTCGTACGGACATACCGTACATCATTCTCAATTAAGATCATGTTTAAATCTAAAATAAATAAATTTGACGGTTTGTGGGCAGGCAGGCTGAATAAATTCTGCGTGACATTTCTCTTCCTTGATATGACATGAACCGTAGCTATTCAAGAGGATATCATTATATGTTTTCTTGGTTTCATTACTTATTTAATACATTTGATGTAAAATTATGGTCAGGCATGTTAAAATTAGAGTCTGTTGGCGCCTATCATTAACATTTAGGGTAGAATGAGAAGTAAGAGGAACATTTCAAGCTAAAAGCTTAAAAAAGAACAACTTTAAAATGGATTCATTCACAATGAATATTACAGCTAACAAAACTAAAACAAATTTTTTTCAGTTTAAGAAGTCAAAGACGCAATGTGACAGTTTAATTGAGGGCATGTAAAAAGGGCTGTCTGACCTGTTTTTCTAATCAACTGATTGTTAAAGGAAAGTCCCAACCTAAATTAAAGTTTGAGTTAAAACCAAAAGGGTTTTTTAATCAAAATACTTACAAAATGATTAACAATTGTCGATAGCTAATTCTACCAAAACTCCCTGAGATATTCAAGTATAGCAGTTTATCAACCATGACACGAAAAATGTTGAAATGAGTTATAAATACCGATTTTAATTTTTCATCATTTAAAAAACTATTTTTGAAACTGTGGTTTTCTTGGTGAAAATTATCTATGTTACCATCAACTACAGGCAATATTTATTATATTACAATGAATTCTACATTAATCTTTGATAATGACTTCCATATAAACACATTATGTTTAAGTCTGTTTTCTGTTTTGCACCCTTACCTCCCTCGTTACTAACTGAGTCATATAAAGACACTTGAAAGAATTTGTAAAAAGTATTTGCAAACATTTATTAACAGAATTCAATACTATAGATCCACAACAATAAAAAATCACAAAGGCAGTAACCTTTTCCGAAGAAAAAAATATAAGAAAGACAAAAATCTAAACGGTTAAATACATACGCACTCCTCCATGGCATCTGATCTCTCCTTTGATGTATTTGGAGGTCCGTGTTTGCTCTGCTCCCAATTTGTATTGTCTAAATGGACTTTGAGTTAAATACTGTTCGTTATCTTCATATTTCATGCATTATGTAAAAAGAATAACTATATGCGTATTTGGCAAATTGTCATAAAAGGGTGTTTATCAAAAGGAATAATCCTCTTCATCTTTTGAAGATGTTCATGTTTCGCTAATTTGATTTCAATTTGTTGATGACAAAGTTTTTCAGCAGCAAGAATAGTACTTTCAAATTGTCGTAAATTCATTACACTTCATATTGAATTTAATTACAAATCATTGTATTTCAAAATAAATCTCTCAAACACATTTTTAATCAATAATAACAGCAATGAAATTATTTTTGAAATTTTTAAAGATATAAATTTGTTTTCAATGATTTTACAAAGACTAGAAATCAAAAGAAAAACTTTAATGAATCAGGCATGGAAAGCTTTCCAAAACCATACATTTTGATAATTTGTTTTATCCTTAAATCATCAAAAGAAAAGTGTTATATACATAATTAGATATTTAATTTTTATGTCACTTAACAACATACCCTTTACATGTATTTTCAAAGATCTTCGTCTTCATGTTTAGATTGTTGGTTTATATTATTATTTTTTTTTGTCCTAAGATCTTCTGGGAATAAAAATCTAACCACTTATTAGGCGAGGTTTTGTCACATGCATAATTCTTAGACTTCTGATTGGCGTAGAAGTACGATTTTTGGGAGAACAGGGATGCTCATTTATTGATTCTAAAATTAAAAACTCCCACGCATTTTAAACATTTTTCGACTTACAAGGTTTTGGAAAGCGCAGCGACAATATGTTTTTCGACGAATCATATTCAACTAATTTACTTGACGGTATTATATCAAAATATGCTGAAGTTTTTTTACTGAAAGCATTGCGAATCCCGGGATTTCTTTCAAAAAGAAACATAACGAATCATATCAATTCAGAAGTTTTCAATTTATGTTTTGTCCAATATAAAAGAAAATCAAGTTATGTTTACATGGAAGGTCGGATGCAAGGGGACTTACATTTTTGAAGTTCCCAATTCTATTTTAAGTCAAATATAGAAAAAAAAATCAAGTATTATGAAAATTTAGATGTTCGGGTATAGGTGAAAATAACTTTTAATGATTTTCTAGAATGTTGGCTTTCAAAACAATCAGATAGCTAAGCACCTAATCCCAATCTGGAATTTCCGTGGACCGATGTTTTATGCCCGGTTCACAAATTTGTACTGTTTGTAGATTTTTTTGAGATCGATCAACGTTTGTTAACTTCACCTTTTTCATTTCCATCAATCTAATGATAATATCCCACTTACCCTTCTGTAGTTTTTTTTTTATATTGAGCTCAATTTAATCGGCAGTTTTCCATAAATGAATGATTTAATCTATAAATGGGTATGAACAGTTAATTGACTGATGTCCTAAGCTTAAGTTTTGGCCATGGATAGTATTTTTCTTTTTCTCATTCAACAAAAGGGGTAAGGTTTTGACTTTAATCTAAATTAAGCTTTGGAAAAGGAGCATTCTTTTAAAGCATATTTTGGTTTATTTTGGCCAAAATTTTGAGCAGCCAAGACACTGCAAAATAATTTTGGGAAGCTAAATTAAAGCATCTTGCAGACAACGAATCGTTAAAACTGCTTATCTGAAAAGGATTAATCAAAGACTTTTTTTTTAAATTTTCAAAAAATTCAGAAACATGGAATTTTTTTATGGAAATGTGAGAGCTTCTATATGTTTATTTGTTAATACCTTATTGGTCATCTTTCATTGTCATTGGTCATCTGCAATCTTATTTTGTTTAAAAACATTCTGATTCTATACACAAGTTTTTAAAGTTAATTTCCATGGGTATTAATTGTGCCCCGTTATTAGCAGACCTGTTGGTCATATATATGAAGCAGCATTTATTGAGAACCTTCTGCATAAAAATGTCTCTTGCTGTGGCCTTCAATTTGGAATTTAGATATATCGATGACTTCTTTTTTCAATTAACAATATTCATCTTACGTTGATTCAATGTACCTCATTGATCTAGAAGTAAAAGACACCTCAGAGTCTGACAAATCTCTTTCATATTTGAATGTTTTACTAGAAAAAGACATAGATGGCAAGCTGACAACTAAACATTTATGATAAACATGATGAATTCAAATTTTCTATCGTTAACTACTTTAGTTATGTAGCAATATACCATTATCAACTGCATTATATGTCTCACAGTTCATTCGATACACAAGAGCTTGTTCTACGTACGAACACTTTCTATAACGAAGCAGGCTATTGATAAATAAGCTGATGTTACAAGGATATCAAGACTTGTCTTGAAATATTTATTTGCAAATATTAAGTATCCAGCTGCAGACTGCTTCTGACCGAGTATTAAATCAAAACTTTAATTTTTTGAAACAGTTTTATTTTTGATAACTATATAATGCAACAAAGGTATATATAATTACTTATTAAACTTTCAATGAGAACATGCGAACAATACCCTTTGGGTTTTAACCAGGTTAATAAGTTGACAACTTCCCGGGCTATGGTAAATACACAAGTCATAATGTTAAATTCTATATCTAACTACATGGACAGATAATAAGCACTATTTACGTTTTTACACAATAAATGTCCAATGAATTTCTAAAAAAAATATCATTAGTATTCAAGTTCTGGGAGTTTTGGTTGGAAGACGATTGCGGTTGATATGAATATGCATTTCTGGATGTATCAGTCGCAAGTTCTCACGATTAGTATAATAAAACATACAATTAAAACAAGGGATACAGTTACTACAAAACTGATAGTCCATAAATTAGAAATTGGATTGTACAGAGCAACAAAGACTAGGTAAGCGCTTTAGTCACTCAGAATAAATCTGAGAGTTAGACCAAAGTTTACAATTACGTGCACGTCACAAATCAGGATTGATTTCCGTTTACAGTTTCTACATCCTTGGGTGGCTGACGCCGACCTCCTCTGCAAATCTTTTGAGAACCCTCATACTCAAACTTGCACTCCTTTAAACAATGCATTTCGTCAAAGGAACTCCTAAAGCGGTAAGACTTACATGCTTGGTCACATCCTGCCTTTTCCCGTTCAACGACGGCCAGGCATTCACAACGAGGGGAACACTTCAATGCTTTAGTGTCACATTTATCAGCACACAACAAAAACTTTGATTTCGAAAGGTTAAGCCAAAACCCCTCTTTACACCGTGATATACAGTTCACTCGTTTTGGGTAACATTCTTCTTTACAGGATTTCCTCTGATTATTTTGAGCGTAAGTGCTGCTCACAGTAAGGGAGATAACTGTCAAACTGAAGACCACCTTCAGAAAAGTTTAAATACATATATGTGTTTATACATTCTTAACCTCATATGTTAGGTTATTTTAAGTTATTTTAAAACTGTTCTTAAAAAGTTAAAGAAAAATTTTACAAAAAGAAGTTCTTAAGCAATAAAATATTAATTGTAATGTAAAATGAAAAGACAATTAAAGTGCGAATAATAGGTGTCACTACTTACCCAAGTGATTCTTGTAGCTGTAAAACCCATCATCTTGAAAAGTGCTTTAACATAAACTGAAAAAATATGGGGAATGCTACGAAGTTATATCAACTGAGGTTCGTAATGAATATTCTGTTATCTCCTAATTGCCATCATAAAAATGTATAAAGCTTAGGCGACGTAACATCAGGGCTGCCCTGATCATCACATTAAAAAATTAATTCGGCGGATTTTGTCTTTATCTTTCATTAATTGACCACATTCATGTTCTAAATTGCTTCCATTATTTAAATTGTAATTTTTTTTATTAATCAAACAAAATGTCTTTTTCTCACTGATAATTTTTGATAACTTACCCAAAGAAATAAAAGATTTTCATATAAATGCAATAAAAGATGATCTTTAAAGTAGAATTTCTACATTCAGTGAAATCTATAACAATAAATAGAAATAAAGCAAATTGAGTGTAATTTATATGATACGGGGTCAGCACTTTTATCAGATATGACAGATTACTTCCTCAGAGTTCACACATAGTTATTACATGATTAACCTGCTCGTGTCTCTCCGTGACTTAACGGCAGAACATATGACACAGACAAGTTCGTGTTATACACGAATCGATTTTCTTCATGTTAAGAAGGTATTTATACTAAATATTAATTGGAAATTTATATGAAGCAGAAATACAAATTGTGATTTGTTAAAGCTATTATTGGCGTTGTTTGCAAAGCTTTCTGACAAATGGCACGCATAAACGTTAAAATTTTTGTGGGTTTTCGAACTTTGACCATAGACGCATGCGCGGACTTTCTCAAATACTAAATACAAGTTTTATGTCTTCTGAAATGTTTATGATGTGCAATACATTATCTATGTTAATGTGTAGGATAATTTTTTTTAATTCCAAAAGCAGTTCTACATGAAAACCTAGGGAAGAAAATAGTTCCTAACAGTCTATTGATAAAGATTCGTATTAATAATAAAAATGTTATTTTTATACAATTTCATCGAATTCTTTTTATAAATAGAATTTTACTCCACAAAGACAAAATTATACATGTAGTGCAAATCATGCAACTCTGTGACTGGTATATAGGGCTACATTTGGGGGTCAGACTTATTCTATTGTGTTCAAATCTCTCCACTCCAAAAAGAATTAAGGTTACAGGGTATCAATTATAGAATGTCAGCTATATGCACATTCATTATATATTCAGGTTTATTCAAATTATTGCCACCAGAGGCAAGGATAAGCATTTCAAAGTTTAACAAATCAAAAAATAATAAATTTTGTCTGAAAAACTACAGTTATAATTTCCCATTCTTATAAACCTTGGATTTAATTTTACCACTTGAGTTAGGATAGGTATGGAAAGGAGATGAAGTTTACAAAGTCTTACACACAGAAGAGGGATATTTGGTAAATGGATTCTAAATATTTACTTCCCTGTGGCCAGGATTTGGTCTCTTGATATTTTGATTCAGAGTCATTCTCTATAACGACTTGAACTTTTATATAGAAGTAGTAGCACGCACAGTCTCAGAATTTCCCCAAACTCTTTTTTGATAAATATCTTTGATATTGTAAATTCAAATAAGGCAAAAATTGTTTGCTATGTGTCATGGTTTGAAAAATGCATCTTAAACATGTTCAGAGTCAAATACTTAATGTTTGCAGCAATGCAGACAAATGTCAACGACTGTTCCTTAAAGTTGAAGCCTTAATGTCTTAAATGCATGATAAACATATCTGGGAAATCCAACTATTACATACGTTATTATTGAAACAAAGTATTCAAAAGTACGCTCTCTGTATGTTTAAATTTATTATGTTTTTAAAAGGGCACATGTCCAAATAATTGCTGATTAATTTGGAAAGGCAATGGTGTGGTCCTAATTACCAGATTTCAAAAAGTTCAAATTTAATTCTTAAAATAGAGTGTTGCTATGCAAATCATAGGACAAACATGTATAAAAACTGACAATTAATTTGTTTTCTTGGATACGTAAACTTGTATGTAGATTCCCAAAACTTCTTGGGTTGATATTTGTGAAAAATTTACCTGACTTTAAATGTTGACTTCCACACAATCTCTACCTGGATGCAATAAGCTACTATACAGGATTTAATGTTGACATGTGAACAATGTGAATAATGTGAACAAAATTGAATAAAATTGAACATTTTCTCTTCTTAAAAGCCATAACAACACTGTTATTTTGTTCATAAACTTTATCAATAATTGATATTCAACTTTAGTTCAATCAGAATAGCACGTATGTCACTCATCAGCTTTTAAGAAAAGTTTAGTCAGAACATCTCACTTCAAAACTATATAATATTATACATTCGATTATACAGAAGTCTTTCTTGTATTACAATTTAGTACTTTAGTTAAGTCAAATTGATAAAAAAGGTTCAAATTACATAAAAAAAAAATCAAAATAACACACTTTAATAGCAAAATTAAATTCTCAAAAATGCAGCTGATAATGCTTTAAGTGGTTACAGAGAATATCTCTTAATATGTGATTAAAACTATATATTAATAATTCTTCCAAACTTAAGATGATTTCAGTTGGTGAAATCAGAGCCCTTCTTTGCCAAGGTTCTGTTAGAAAAAAAAAAACGGTTACATAGCTCATAGTTTGTTATGTAGCCAATAGATCTTTTGCTTTTTGCATCCTTTTGAGTCGACACTTTTAAGGTTAACAGACTCCAACAAAATTTCTCAATGTATGCGTTGTACATGTCTGCTTGTAAATCTCATTGACAATATACATGTGTATGTAGTGTAGTTTTATCTTAAGGCAAAGATATCATTTTCTGTCATTATTTTGACAATGAATTGACATGGATTGTTTATGTTGTTAAAGAATTGTCTTAAACTATTAAATTTCACCCCTTAATTGTTTATGTCATTAATTTGCTAATTATATTTGTACTGCAAAAGAAAAATGCTATACTTATCAAATGATTAATGATTGACAATAAATCTGGAAGACATGACAGAATATAAATATTTGTTAATTTTCATGCATCTTAATTTATATCACATTCTATGTTTATACTTACTATTGACAAAAATGTCACAGAGGGAATGTGTCTCAACATAAATTATTATAATGTATGTGAAATATGACATGCATTTGTCAACATTAGTTCGCTTTCTCATAAAAAAGAAGCATATTTTGTGGCATTTAACGACCGATTTCACTCAAAATGTCTTGAAATGCAATCTTAACCTTCCCATTATATTAAAAAAAATACGCAATTATATGTTTTTAAGGAGAAATAAAGTGATGAATGAAATTATTTTATATAATATAATGATTAAAGTATTCACAAATGCAAGTAAACGTGGAGAAAGCATGACTTTTTATGTAGATTATATCATATAAATTCAGTACTATTACATTATGAGAGAGAGAGAGAGAGAGAGAGAGAGAGAGAGAGAGGAGTTGTATGATAATTAACATTTGTATTTTTTGGATTACAGCAATGAAATATTGAAGGTCAATTTAAGAACGCTAATTTTTTTTTTGTTTCAGATATAAATCACGCATCTATTTTTACATAAGGCGTTATTAAAAAAAAATTCATCGTACTTAAATTATACTTTTTTCTTTAAGTCTGCTTTATACAAATAATTAAATTAATCAGTGAATTAGCTCCTCCAATCCAAATGATCATGTGAGCTTTTCTGAACAACGAAGTGTGCGGCGTCCGTATGTCGTATGCCGTTTGTCGGCTGTAAACTTAACATTTTCGACTTAATTCTTTTCCAGTGGGCCAATTTTCATTCAAACTTAGCAAGAAGTATCCTTGGTCAAGGATTGTTCAAGTTGTTTTGTATGGAGCGCAGCATTCTTTTCAAGTGGAGATAAGGTTGATAAGGAAATTAAAGAAGAAAAAAGTCGATGGCTTCAAACTGACTGTAGAACCTATTGGCCCGAAAAGACCAAACATGCGAAAGCTTTCTTATTGAGTGTAAATCAAGTTTATTAAAATCCTAGCTATTAGGGTTAGGTGGGCCCACAATAGGTGAGCAAGATGTTACTTTTGAATAAAATGAAAGAAATATTTTAAAAACTCCTCAAGGACAACAGGACCACAATTAGTCATAATAATATGCAAGAATCTTTGCGTAGTGTAGATTTTTTTTTCATCAATGTTTTAGCCCTGCTTATCTTGAGAACATTTTACAGATCATTCCAATATAATACTGTATAGAATCATAAAATCATATACACTGCCATAAATCAGACTTGTTCAAATCATGCTCCTTGGGGCTAGGAAGGAGCCAAATAAAGAGTGACAATTTTACATTGAAATACAAGATAGAGCCTATAAAAACTTTTTCAAAGATAAAGCTGAACTTCATTAGTCAGATACAATAGCATCTTCATGCAGTGCGGGTACATATTTGTTCAAACCTTGACCTTTCAGACAAGGACTGAACTACAATAAAATGTCATAGTTTGGGATGGGAATACAAATTTATATTATCACTCATATCTACTGATTATACAGTTAACAATAAACAGTAACTTGTCTTCTAGTTTCTCTAGAATAACGAAAACAATCAAGCTATGCATTCTAATACTATATATATATATATATATATATATATATATATATATATATATATATATATATATATATATAGTGATAATAATAATAATGAAAATACAGTGCTGCTTGATTGGTTATTATATTATAGCACTTTGAATGATACAGCTAGCTTTTATTATGTTTGACGTACTGAATTGATCAGGGCAATATTTGATCTTGGTCTTTTCAATACAAAATGATAAAAAGTGAACTGATAATAAAACACATTCGTACTGTATAAAATTTTTGCGGAGGGGGAACCATTGGTTTAGTTACAATTTTCTGGAAATTTTAAGAACATTATTTTATATTAACTATTTGAAATTTCTTCTCGGACTACAATCCAATTTACAAATCCAAATATAAATTATCCATGTTTCATAGAATGTCTGAATATAAGATAATATGGTCTTGAAATACATGTTTCTGTTACGTAGGAGGGTTTAATTAATTGTTTAAATTGGATCATCATTGTCGTGACTTGGGAACCAATTACTATTAATTGTGTTAAACCACACCACACTCCTACATAATCAGAGCAATGTCATATTAATCACAGTTAAACGTGATTAAGTTTGTCTATTTGATCATTGCAGTTGTAAATTTTAATATAGGGTTTCCAATGATGAGTTAGACAGATTAAATAAACACGAAATAATCAGAAATATGACTCATCTCAAGATTCAATCATGATAAGAATTTTGAAAAGAAAACTTCTCAATGCTCTAAAATAGATTTGTATTTTCAACAAATTCGTCATTTTGAAAAAGGAAATCAAACGTATAAAAATTCTTTGGCATGTTTGTCTAAATAAAGTTCCACTTATTAATCAATTTTGATAATTCAACATTGCCTTGCTCTGAAATTTGAATATTTTCCCTAAGTTTTATTTTCAATATTTGAGTTTAGACCAACCTAAACATACATTGTATGTACAATACAGAAGGTAAACCTAGTGATCT